AGACAAATAAAACAACTGACAGATCATCCTTCAGCCAGTTAGTAAAATACATTTAATGACGATCTAATTTCAGTAAACTACTTAATACCCCTTAGTAGCTGCTTGAAAGTGTTCAGATTTCAGGTAAAGTTTGAGGATAATTTGATTGCGTTTTTTGGAAAGTTCCAAGAGAAATACAAACAAGCTTTTGGTTATCCCTTCTTTATATTAATCTGACAGTTATCCAAATCAAATGCAATCTAGTAAACACCCTCATTTTCATTTTTTACTCTAACCTTCGAAATAAAGCATTCTGACCCTGCTCGAGGTTCTAAGATAGAGAACTTCTAGGGGATTGGAAGTGGCTGATAAATATGTGTTTGAACACTGACATATCAGACTTGTTAAAAGCAATCTTGTTACATGAGTTAATAAATAATTCTGATAATCTTCGTCTCCTTGTTACACTATCCAAATTTACCAAAGGGGATAATTCCTTCAAATGCAGTATACCTGAAGCGAGCATTTTTGCATTTTGCTGTCCAGTTTCAAATATAGGCTATGAAATTGTTTGTTATTAGATTACATTAACTCAGTAGAAAATCAAAAAAATGTTTGTAAGGATAACACAAATCATATTTAGTTTTTAAGGATTTGTATCTTACTGTTAGAGTTAAGGACTACTACCTCTATTAGCATAAGTGGATTTTCAATAATTTGTCTCACTACTCCTATCTAATAATACCATTTAGGACTCATTGGCTGAATGTACTTGCAACATACCGAATACCTAAATGAAGCTCCAGGTGCATCCAACTGATGAACTTCAAACAAGACTTAACATTCATCCTGAATTCCACGAATAATCACTAACAAACTTTACTAAACACCATATTTACTCTCCTTTTTAGTTTTATTAAAAATATTCATCATAAACCATTGAAGTCTATTCATATTTCATTATTTTGTGAAGTCAAATAGATTTTAACTAAAGTGATGAGATTTCACATAGACATAGAATGATTATAAAGTGTAATCGTAAATTTCAATTGTTGAGATCATGAGTCGATTGAAGCTAGACCATCATGAAAAACCTGGAATCACTAGACGGCCGTTTCATCCTATTGTGGGACTCCTCAAAAGTGCGCATCCACGATATATCCACGGTATATCCTGGAGTTCTATTGAGAAGCAGTGAACAGTGGAGTTAAACCGGGTCAGTTGTGAAATAGTAACTCACTGATGACAGTGGTGAATATGTCGCTCAATTTCTTGGATAAGTTGGAGTTAGATATTAACAACGTTGGATGCCGGCCGTCTCAGTGGTATAGTGCTTAAGCGTTCGCGGTCAGGACTGATAGGTCCTGGGTTTGAGTGTTGCAAGGCAAGATAGTGAATGCGCACTGCTGAAGAGTCTCTCAGTAGGTCGAAACGACTGTCCAGTTCTTTCAGGTTTTCCATGATGGTCTAACTTCAATTGATTCATGATCTCCACAATTGAAATTACTAAATTCTCCACAGAACATCCCTTCTGATTATAATTGCAAAATCACTTAAAGGAACTGATTCTACTTCAGCTAAAATTAGACAATACTGAATTTTTAAATTTTAAAACAGATTTTTATCAGGTCTTAAAAATAATCCAAATAAGTGAAACAATTTATTACCTTGTAGATAAGCATCTTCCTGTTACAAAAAAATACAAAACAAACAAACAATACACTGGATTTAAATAATGTCTACCGGAATCCATTGTAAATGCATACACAAAACCGATAACACTAACTGGTATTTACATCTCCTTCCCTCCCTCTCTCTCCCTCTTTCTCTCTCTGTATAAACATATATACAAACAGAAGATATAACACTAATGAAATAATATACATAATACCTAATGAGCATTTGATGTTAAACTAGATGATACTGACTATGACAAAACTTATAAGCACTTTAATCGTTTTCTTTTTCTAACGAGCAATTTAGATATAAATATAAATAGAATAATCAGTAACTATAATTTAAGGAGGTTTTGCGTTTAGTTCTTCTTTTTTTCACCAACCACTTCATGTGGCTGTTTATACTTTGTTTATCAAACAGAGAAAAAGATAAAATGGAGATTACTCTTTATTTCTCTGTAGATAACACTTAAAGAATTACGTAATTTGCAATAAGTACTAGTTCACAATAAAACATTAAGATTGTTTTAACTAGGTTTTATCATATGGTGGGAAGTAGACTGCTTTTTTTTCGGTTTCTGTGTTCTCAGAAGTAAGTACACTCAACTTTAAATATGATCGGATATTCATGTTTCATATAAGACACGCCACTATTTAGAATTATCTTCAGATAAAGATATTTTCATCAAGATAATAGGTTTATGCAGATTTATTGAATTTACTGTCTATTTACTGGTTCTCGGACGAATATATTAAGTTTTAGTGAGACGTTGTAATTGATTAATCTCATCTAAAACAGATGTGAAGCACTCATTCACTAAGCTACAACCTGATTGAAGTTATAAATGTGAATCACTATGCTACTTTTCAACGGTTTAAAGTAAATGCCAGATGAATGGATTACTTATGTTTCAAAAACAGACAGAAGAACTATACCACAGAATGTATTGTCCTGTATTTATCAATGAAATTTGAATCCGATCTCTAGATGCAAGGATTTTCACTTTCCTTAAATATTGGAAAAAGGAGATGAGAAATTTCACCTTGTCACGGATATTAGGGAACTAGCTCAAGTTTACTCACAAATAACTCCAGTATAGCAAAGCTAGAGTTTCACAAGTCAAACTAACGTGTGTTTGTCATATATTATGGTATATGACACAATGATTACTGAATTTAAGTATAGTGTCAGAAAACTAATATACAAGGTACGACAACTTAATGAAATTTAACTTAGAAGAAAAGCACAAAACCAGCTTTTATTAGACAGAAGTGATATAAAATCTGTTAACTTTAATTTTGATTGATTGATAGACACTTATTGTGTTTAACTAATATTCAAGCTGTAATTGGATATTGTTTTTAACGTTAACGCTGTTCAACAGAATTTACAAAGCTATCATTTCGAAACTGATTCAAATAGACTTTCCGTTGAGAGTTTACATGTCTGGAGGTAACTGACTGGAAACTCTTAAGACAACTGGTCCGACTTACTAACAACAGGGTTCTCTGTAAATTACCTTCAACCATCTAACATCTCAACAAATTATATGTATTATCAAATCACTTAAACTAGTGGTGATATTACAACATGATCGATCAGAAATCGATCATTACTAAAAGGAGTGGATAAATATGATATTGGTCACTATTCAGTGATCAATCAATTGCATATTTATTATTTTAATATTAAATCTGATCAATTATTTATTTAAAAGTGTGGATTATTGTAGAGAGTGGGATCAGCTAAAGGCTTTTTTTCATGATTGTCAATAACGTATACTGGAAATCTTCAAAGTGATAAGAGCTTATATATATAATCTTGATCCAGTGAACACTCAGATATATGTTAAGTATGTAAATATGTAAAAAAAAATATGGTTTTTGAAAATTCAAGATGTAACTAGAGGCAACTTCCACAAAGTGGTGATCAACAAAGAAATTCAAATAATCAGTAATGAATTCATTTTCTTTCTAAAGATTCAGTCCATGTAATTCAACGTTTCCTTCAATTGCTTCATGATACAGGTTGTAGCTAAAGCTTTCGACACTCACAGAAAAATTATAGATCATTTAATAAACGTAAACTAAGCTTTGAACTATCAGCAATGTAAAGGAATTACATCAAAGAATCTATTCGCTAACTCGTATTAATTAAATTCAACAAATGAGTAATATAAACACAATGTTTCATTGTTTTTGTGAATGTGATTCTGAAACATTCTCTTCTTATAATAACGTTTAACTATGGAAATTCCCGCTTCTTACAAAAGCTGCTCAAACTCATAAATTAAAATCAAGAATATAATTTTTTTTAATGTTACAGCTGACAGATGTAGTTAATGGGCTTATAGAACGATCCAACTAATAAACTATTCCCAAGAGTTTTAAGGAATATTTGAAAAAGGAAACAACAAGAAAAATCTTATTAATTAAGGCTAAAAGGAAGTGAGGGTAAGGAAAATAATAAACTTTTATAATAACCCAACTCAAAAAGAAAGAAAAAAAGGTCTAAGAAACAACCTCTTAAATAATGATTTTATCTTAGATGATTGTTTGAAAATACAAATAAGAGATCTGGACTTCTTTAGGGTTCAGACAAGTTCAAACAAGTTTGCTAAACTAAACGTTCGAATTATCTAAATTTCAATCACTGAGATTATTTCAAATACACACTTTCATATATAGTGAATTCTCTATACTTGGTGCCCAATTTTTGTCAAACTATTCATTCTAATCTTGACGAATATTTGTATATATCCATATGTTCATCAATCGTAAAAGGTTCAATATCGTGAAACCATTGAAATGACTGAATAATCACAGTATTTACGAACAAACTTTATTCAGAGCTTAGATATCAATGTAATAAATGTGTAACATGGATAAATTAAACTAAAGGACGCATCAAGAAAATGATCAGTTAATTCCTTGGTTTTTAATGTTAATGAAACTAAACACTCCCAAATAAACGTACCTTTATTCCTATACATTTTAGATTTCGTAAATTTACTTTAAATTTATGATTGGCAAGACTATAATTTATGGACGAACCAATCAGATATATGATAGCGAGTGTTGGATGTTCATTCATACATTTGGTGAAATAACGTTTTGGCATTATAGTTTATGTCAGTTCGTGATGAAAACCTTAAATTGAATCTCTAACCCTAACTATCAACTGTCTATCATAATTCTAATTCTCCACACTGGTTTATAACCCTCATTTAGTCCGAGTTTGTAGGTGGACATTCTCAAAGTCACTTTTAGTAGAAAACATTTTTATCTTTTTTTAATATTGTCAGTTGACTAGTATTTTTAGTAAATATTTATTTATTCTTATAGGACCGGTGTATTAGCTCGATCACGTGCACTTGAAGACTGTAGACAAAGAACAAATGCTATCTTGAAAACCATTCAACCGAATCATATAAATATGGATTTGATAAGATCCGCTAAAATTAACGCAGCTAAAGAAGCTTATTGGATCAATCAATTGACTAATAGACTAGAGCATGTACAAGTAAGTTAATTCATTTTTGAATAGATTAGATCTATTCACTACTCTTAGAAAAATTTGTTTATTTTTCTGGTTAGCGTATTTTTAGCGAGTTAGGTTTATACGAGATGGGGACGCTAACCCCATGCCCAACCCTTCTCCTTTATCCGGGCTTAAACCGGCAGTAGCCTTCGGAGGGACTACAGGCGGAGTTAGAAAAACTTGTAGAAAAGAGAAATTGTTTTAAAGAGATAGTTAAATGAGTGTACAGATAACGTTATCAATAAAGGTTATGTAAATAAACTGCTCGGTCAAAGAATGGAGACCGAAGTTGACTAATATCCAAACGATTAAATTTTTTATGTAAAGTTTATGATAGAACTGTGATTTTTTTAATAGCTCATTGCAAGATATCTGAAAGAGAAGTTAAAAGTCTGTATCTCTTTATTGTGGAAATCAAATGTTCACTGAAGATTAAGGTCAGTTATTGTGTTAATCAAGGAGGAAAAAATAATCCCAAGTACAAAACAATCCTAATTTTTTAGTCAGTACTTGCTTTGCATGCAAAGATGGACAGTGGCGCGTTTCGGCCTATTTGGGATTCGTCAGCTGAATGTACTTGCATCTCACAGTTGATGTTCATGTTGGGACTCGAACCCAGTACGGCTTCAAACGCCATCACGTTATTCACTTAGCTGCTGAGTCCTGGTGGTTAATTAGTTGTGCACTGGGTTGAAATTTAAATTCACTGGGTATTGTTTACTTAAATTTTTCCATAGATGTTTAAGACTGTAATTTATCAGTATCTTATTGGCATATGTGCATACTATGAGTATTGCCTTGATATTACCTTAATTCACAAGCATTCTAAACAAAGATGGATAGTGGAGAAGATATGTAGCTCGGGTGAATGATTTTGATGAAGTTTTGTTCTCTGAGCTGAATGTTTTGGTCGTGGAGCTTTCATTGTTCTTCTGAACGACATCATCAGCAGCACAAACTTCAGGTAGAAGGTACCTGCAGTTCTAAGCATCAATGGGTAGATTCAATTAAACAGTACCAAGTTAATTAATTACGTACTTTAGTACTTTTTCTTGCGATTGTCCTAAAACTTATTAATCTTCTTAAAATTGTTTATAAAAGGGTAAAATATATTTAGAATGAGTCATTACGTTTATGTTATTAGATTATTTATTTATAGACAATGTAAACGTTGCGCTAATGACTGAATATGATATTCTTTTGAAAACGTGTGTACTCATTTCAACGATTAATGCATTTATTGTTCAGAAATCTGACGATCCATCAATGTTGTAAACATTTCTAACCTAATTAAGGAATGTTTAAATGGATATGTGATTGAAATACTATCATTATGATGCTTATATTACCCCCGTAATTCAGAGTACACTTGGATTTAATATAAAGGAACTGTTTTACTAGTTAAATGTAAAATCATGAAATATCATAAAGTTCTTAGTAACTTAGCAGTTTATTTTAACACACTATACAATAAAGCAAGTACAGAATTATATTTTCGATATTCAAATATATTAATTTCTGAATAGTGGTTCATAAAATTAAAATAAGATAACTTTTTTTAGTTTCTTTGCTGACACCATTTTGATACTGAAAACTGAAATGTTCTACTTGTTGAAATTTATGGTTTACATTCACGAAAACCGTTAATGGCAAGATTATAGTTTATGGACGACCTATAAACGAATCTTAAATGATCTTCAGCAAACAGTCAGCATAGAATAAAAATATATTTAAAAAAATTGAAAAAATAAAGTGGATACACTTCTTATACATAGTTCAGAAGCGTGTCAAGGTTATAAGGAGGTTGAGAGGTTCTAAAATCGTAATGCATGCAGCAGAGAAAATCATCCATATGGCTACAGAATAGTCGGCCTCTGGAGCCATGATAAGGTCGCAAAAATCTTTAGCCTCGACCAAACAGTTTCAATATTGATTGTGTGCCCTCCAGTTGTTGAGTACACAAAATACCACTTGTAGATAACGACACGATGCACATAACCGAGCTTATTTGGGAGTCTGTACGCTCTCCAATCAGCTGTATATATTGTAGTACCTGGCTGCAGTGTTACTTGAGCTTTTATTATGCAGTTCACAATAATTTTCATAATTTGCTTTAGTCAAGAGTTATATATAGGGTTTTCATCACGAACTGACATCAGCTAAAATGCCAAAACTATTTAGCCAAATGGATGGAAGACTTTTGCGCCAAAATCCAATATCCGTTAACTTATACCTGATTGGTTCGTTCACAAATTATAGTCTCGCCCTCTTATTTGTTATAGCCGCTCAATTATCACATTTTGTGTAAAATCCTCTGTGAACCGATAGTACGTTATCATTGAGTACTGAAGTTAGCGCCGTGACCTTGAAATCCTTCAAACGCTTCTGAATGACTCGTCCATAAAATATAGTCTAGCCCCGATAACATAAAGATCATTCGGAACTTTAGAAAAACTTCATTACTGACTAAAATTTAAATTTCATACTCAATAATGAACTTAATATTTGATTCATATGATGTTCTTGGGTAACGTAATTATTGTTGACAGAATAATTTATTTATTAACTAAGCTGCCGCCCTGGATGATTAGCTTTCATTTTCCATATGAATTTGTAAAGCTCTACAAAATAACTGTAGGCGCAAAACACATAATGGAAACTAAAGGACTACTATTTTCAAACTGTCTAAAGTCAACGATAATTAAGTGAAACTAGAGTCCTTTTTGAAAAAATAAACAAATCATATGCACTTTTCATCGTTGTTAACGAATATACTACCTACTTTTATGAGGAATCATGGCTTCAACTTGGGAAACAACATCCTGTATGTGTCTTAAAAATAAGTGGAAAAGCCATAAAATATGCCTATGATCCAAATTAAATAAGATGTCTTGAGAATATTCCCAATCAAATGTATAAAGGTACTGTTCTTCAATATTTATGTTTTTTGTACTAAACAGTGAAGAGTACAGAAGTTTGTAGTTTCTCAACTATCATACTACCGGTCCTTTAAAAGAACCAACAGTAAAGCAGTACTAAATCTTAAAAGCTATACTTCCCTAAATATGATCGATTTGTAGTGCTCGTTAGTAACTTCGTTTATAATTTACATTAGTTTATTTATTTACGGTTAAACTTAATCAAATGGCCAGTATACACATTACCTCAAAATTTCAGACCATTAGAGTATTTACAAGAAAAGTCTACGTTTACTTTTCTTCTGTTCAAATAAGTTATTTTGTTTACAGGGACATTTAATTTTCAATTTCTTATTCTAACCAAAAAGTGGTGTTCTTAACTAAGGTAATGAACAAGAAGTTCTAATGATTCAGAATACCGTAAGTTCTTTACGCATTCGCAAACAAGAGACAATGTCTATCTTGAACGATAATCAATGTTTATTAACTTGATCGATCTGAGAGTTGATATTTCATGACCATGTTGACTGATATCCTATGATTGAGCTTGGTTTAAAATAAATAGCAAAGAATAAAAATCATAAACAGAGGTGGATGGTGTCTAGTGGTGAAATCCATGATGCGTTTTGTCCTCTTTCGGTTACATCATATGGATTTAACTCCACCTCGAAGTTGATGTTGACTTTAAGACACGAACCAAGTACTGTTATCTACAGACGCCATCGCGCTATCTACTTGTCTACTGAGTCCAAATACCTACTGGCTTGCTCAAGCAGCCAATACGAATGAATTAAAAAATGAAAAAAATGTTGTTATTTTTCACCTTTAATGGTTCAATACAAAATGACAAAAATAGCGATCTTTCAAGAATAATATGAAATAATTTGTTTTTCCAAACCATACCAGCTAAAAACAAACTAAATTATAAAGAATCAGAAGGGGTTTTGTGGAGATTCTAGTAATTTTATAGTTGAACTCATAAGTCAGTTGAAGCTTGACCACCATGGAAGACCTGAAAGCACTGGACTTCTGTTTCGTCCTACTGTGGAACTCCTCAGCAGTGCACATTCACGATCCCGCTCTCTGCGAGATACAAACACAGGACCTATAAATCAATGGTGGGTAGTGACGCAATTTCGTGGATTGGTTGAAATTAGTCATTAACAACGTTGGATGCTGGCTCAGTGATCTAAAGTTTAAGCGTTCCTGCGAATGACTGATAGATCCTGGGTTCAATTTCCACGGGCAGGATCGTGGATGCGTACTGCTGAGAAGTTCCATACTAGAATGAAACGGCCATCCAGAGCTTCCAGGTTTTTAACAATGGTGGTCTAGCTTCAATTGATTCATGAATTCAATTATTAGAATAATATGAATATATTTTATATCATTAGGTTCTGACTTCATGGATTACAACCAATGATCTTTTGAAATGGAATATGAAATAATTAAAGAAATACTTGTGATTAGAAACTAACGTGAACATTTAGCAATGTGATATATGAAAAATTTAATTAAAATTAAAATATTGAGAAAAACATGATAAATACATCGTAACCACGTGCTTCATTTAATAGAATATTTTTCGAAAGAGTTTATTTTCAAGACTAAAAATGTTTGTCTATACGATCATAGTCATTCATTGAACTACTTAACTTCCCGTGCGCGTTTAAACTAATAATATGCAAAAAACATATTTTTATGAAAGAAGATTATTTTTTTCAAGCTGTGAGTTATTTCGAATAGTACTGAAATCTGTTCTAGTTAAAAAAAATCAATGAATTAAGTGAAATTGGAATTGCAGGTTACTGGGCGCTAACTCAGTGTTCTAATGATCAATTTAGCTCGTAGAGAGGATAAACGCATTAGAGTTTCATCCTTGAGGAGTGCTCACTGATAAGACTTTTCATACTGTGTCTAAAGTTCCTCACTGACCCGTAACTATCAATCGCCTCAAAGTTAAAATAAATTCGTGATGTAAACTATTTTCATGTTACCTATAGTAAAATTTCTAATAAATGTTTGTTTTTTGCAGCTAATTAATGCATACATAATCTGTTTTCATTTCAATTCCAGACACAGATACAATTACAGTTTATCACAGAATTATGTTTACTGCAAAAAGGATTGGTAAATCATTATTATGTCTTAGATCAACATGCTGTGAGAATCCATGTACCAGAAATAACGGATACAAATTCAACATTTTCAGCTTGTGAACTAATTGGTCCTAATTTTCAGTTCACTGAACAAGCATTATTGATTTTGTCTAACTGGAAGTTGGATCCGCTAACAAATAAACAAATTAAACATACACTAAAAACTCCAGTATGTCATTTCTCCCCAGTTGTTCCTGCTACTTATGCTGAAAGTGAGTAATATTGCTAGGTAGTGCATGAATACATAAGTAGCTCTCATGTAGAATTACTTAATTTCGAAAATAAATAACTTTTTAAAGGTTCACAGTATAAGCTGGTATCACATCAGGATTGAATATGAAAAAGTAGGAAACTTTTATTAATTATTCACCATTGAATCTTATACATATGAGATTTTCGTTTACAATCTTCTTTATTCAAGTAATTTCAAAGAATTTTCACTGAATTATGTGCGTTTAGCTCGTATATATTAAGGTTGATCCAACTACATCCTTTCAAAAGTGTAAAAAAGATAGACTTAAATAACTTGACTGTTAATAGGTGTTAAAATTCAGGTAGATATTCAGTCATAATCAGAGGTTAACTTGATGCAGACACACATGAGCAAAATCTTCTGTTATAACTGATAGACTACTGAAAATCAATGAATGACTAGCGAACTTTGTTCTTTACTGTTAGAGTCAGTTTCTTTTTTAAACATATTAACAGTAACATTTTTATCAAAGCGTGAAGTAGTTTTGAATCAAAAAGCAGAATCAGGGTTTTCAATATGGAATATCTGTAGTTCAGTAACATAAAAACGTTACTTTTCCTTTTAAACTCTCTAAGCACGTTTTACTTCTTATTGTGTTCAATTAAAGATATTATGTTGCGCAATATCGTAAACTGATTGGAATAAGACGATAACTTTGTTGTTATGGTTTCTATTTTCTGTAATGAAGCCATGAATATACACTCCTGAGGAGTTTTGTTCTAGGATAATACAGACATTTGGTAATCTCTGATTTCCAATAGCAGTCTAGATGAGATCACGTCATCATTTAGATTACGTAAATATTACCACTAAAGTGACTTGTGTTAAAGAAAAAAAAACTGTTAGAAATATACGTTAAAGAGCACGATACAGGTCTGTACCCACATACAACAATATCTACATCTACTTTCCTAGATATCACATTCTTATAGTTCACTTTCTATCTTATATCTGCATCAGTAAGCAGAAAACTGTATGATATTTACATGCGTTTAGCTTTATTTATCTCATTTAAGCAACTGATTTTTTTGGATGAAATTCTTATATTTTAATAGTCAAATTCTTAATTTCACCTTTTTTTCTTTTAAAGGTCATCTATCACGTTTATTAAGAATGACTAGTTTAAACGAACAATCTCATCAAATGAGCACTAAAAAAACTAATGAACAAATTACCTCAAATAATAATCAAACAGAATCAAACAGTCAAGTTGATGGAAATCAATTAGATTTCAACTATGAACAACTTACTACATCAATTGGAAGTTTGTCAACTTTAATTAATGCTATTTATCGTTTATTATTAACTAGTTTAACAGTAATGATGGCTATGGGTGGATTATTAGTCTGTTTGCATATGATTTCAATATTGGGACGTATAATAATACGAATTCCAGTACGTAAGGTGAGATGAAAAAAGAAACCCTGGAAAATTATTTTATTGAGTTTGAATATATTTTCAGGATTAATGTCAAAAGTTAATTTGAAAAGCGAGGGTTCTGTTTTATATTTATTTATTATAAAGGCAGATTATAATAAATTGCAAATCCCATTTTATTCGTATATGATTTGTCTTACTAATAATATTTAAACTTTGTATGTGATCTTGTTACTATGTGAATCCTTTTAATGTTTCGGTGAAGATCTGTAATCAATAACAGGATATTGATAAACATGTGTTAAGCGTACATTGATTACGATTAAACTGAATTCAAACTTACCATAGTTTATTATTATATCTCATCCATGGTATTAACAAACTACCGTCTACCTAAGGAGTTTAAATATGCTGTATATATATATATATATATATATATATATATATATATTCTGTCTACCAGTGAAGAAGTTCGAAATATTTTAAAAGGTATGTAATTGAATCGCATGTAATTTGTGCACAAGGTTTCATTCACATTTTTTATGACAACATCATGATAAAACAATTAGCCGCTAAACGAAATGGATAACATTTCAACTACATAGGTTGTAGAAGACAACTAACTATACTGCACATCGTTTACATATCAAATGTAAGTGAACGCATCAGCTAATAACTATGAGTTGCTGACAATTTTATTGTTGTTATTAACATAATCTCTTTGGGACTCAAAAATTTAATAGCTTTCCAGGAAAAAGGAATTAGGTTGTTATAATTTCCCTTATTACAACCCAGCTGTTCCTAATGATTAATATTCTTGGACACAAATCCAGATGACAAGTCCCCAAATCAGCACACGGTTTAACAGAAAGGAAATTATACTCCAAATAACAAGGGTAGATAGAAGTAGGAATTCCGATAAGACAAATGCTAGTATATTTATAGTTTTACATAAGATTCTAGATTCTTCCCCAAATATCCACTAGCGCTGATTGGGTAAGAATTGGCCAATCAGCGTGCCCCAACACATTCCTGCATGGAACTTGCTTTAATCGAATCTATACTCCAATAACATATGCTTATCCACGGTAAATGTTTACATATCATTTAGACAAACAGCCATTCCAAATTTCAATTTTTACTGGTAAAACTGCAATAAACATTATATACCTTATTCATATAATCACGGTGACGAATATAGTGCTTAGAAGTTACTATACAATTATATCAGACGGTTTGGAGAAAGTTTGATGCAGTATTGTTTTTTTAAATATAGTATATTATACTTATCAATATAACTTAATCCTCTTCTTAGGTTAATATAATTTTTGATTCAAGGGCATTTTATGATACTTGTTTCACGGCAACTTACTCATCCTTTCTAGTTCCAGTCATTTGAAACTCTTATTCTTGTGCAAATGAAATTTTGTTGACATTTCACATCAGAGAACAACCTATAGAGAGCATGTTTATTGAAATATGGACAATCCCTACTTGAAGATAATTTTCATTACAGAACGACATTGAATACTATAGTGTTCTATTTATCTTCTTGAGACATTGGATAATTCTTTCATTGTGCTTAAAATTGGCTGAATTAGGAAGTGCTGAATAATTTAATGCTCTGTGAACTGGGAGTACTATTTCGTATATGAACCGCAAATGTATGCCTATTGTTTTGGAGTTTCAAACTGAGACGAAGAAGCTGCAAATACTCCATGGTATTCAATGATTCCCCGTAAATTATCAGTCTGAAACATAAATTATTCGCTAAAATTCTGTCGAGTGAGAATCTCAATTAAGTGGTTTCTTCAAATTTATATTAGTCTATTCATAGGTAACGGATTGGTGGTTCTAGTCGTATCATTTAATTTACCACTATTTAATTTGAATTCATTATAAACAAAATGACTTCATTGCTTTACTTTTAATCATCTGACATTGTTTCATCTTTTATTCAGATTTATTACACCACCATCTACCCTCCTTGTACGTCTGTGAACAATCCATCTTTTTCACCTACTGTTTGCCAATCACGCAGTCAACATTCATGATGTATAAAACTATGTATTATAATATACAAACTTCATTATCTGTACTAAAGAAATACTCGAAATGTTAAGCAAAACACGGAAGCAACTCTATTTTGAAAAAAAAGTATCAATTCACAGCTTTTGACGTGAATGATACCGTAATCCACACACTTCCACTATTCACACAACAGAACTGAACTAAAACAAAAAAAATTCGTTTGTTTTGCTCAATATTATATTTATCCTTGAACAATGATGAAACTAAGTAAATATAATGACCGGAACCAAACGTGAAAAATTCCAAACCAATAAGGTGGACTACGTATATATATATAGTTGAATTTTTCGATCAAATTTATTTCGCTCTCTGATAAACGCATTTTTTTTTCTTATTTTTTCATTCGACTTCTTATGTCATTTGGGATATTTTTTAATATGGAAAAACTATACCCATACACATGGGAGAAAGAAAAACGTGTATGTGTTGGTGATTAGATAAATGTGTTTAGGATGGAATTAGGATAAAGAGAAGATTAGTAGGAAAAAAACTTTGCTCATAGAAAGAATGAGAAGAAGAAGAAGAAAAAGACTGTCAATGTTTAATGCTCTAATATTGTGGATACAACTTTCATGATAATATAGATCTCTTTCACTGGAATTTCCATATATATATATATATCCTTTGTATATGTTATCTAATACTGCTGTCGTGTAACATTGAGAAAATCGATTGTAACTGTAATTTCCTTTTTAAGAATGTTTCAATTTATTCGGTAAGTTGACTTAATGGTAAAAATGATTTTATTTTATAAAAAAAGGAATGACATTTAAGATGTTTATTGCTTTGTAATTTTCTAATTGATATCTTAATCTTATCTTCGTCCTATACAATGTGATAATCATAATGATTAATTTCTGCTTTTTTTGTTCTTTCATTGAATGAACTTGCATTCCGTTAATGTAACATTGAATATATACTTTATAGATATATATATTTGTAAATATGAACACTTCTTAAACTTTGTTTCTAGGTTGCCTATAGTTCAACATAAAAACCAATGTAAATAATTCCCTTTTTTTTTCTCTTTTTTGTTTCTATGTTGTGAATAGTATGTGGTTTATTATTTTCCATAGAAATTATTAAATCAATACTAGTTCTAAATGTAATCTTATGAATTTGATAATCTATTCTATAAATGTTATGTTTTACTTTTGTATCCTTGAATTGGGGGTAGGGTGGGGGATAGGAGGGGATTTTGTGAGTTATGAACTTTCTAGTTTAGATTTATATAAGCAGATATATTTGAAAATATTCTTGTCATCAATTTATCAGTATATTTTAGTAGTATGATCATATAAAATATGCATAGGGTTCAACTATGTCGAGTGTTAGGAAAGAACTTACTGAAGACAGAGGATAATGGTCGCGCGATGTTATAGACTAATATAATTTAGACGACCACACTATTGGATCTCACATCAATGGTCTAGAGTTCAAGCGCTCGTATGCGAAACTGAAAGGATAGGATTCGATCCTTGCTAACGAGATTATGGATACTCAGTTCTGAGGAGTCCCATGCTACGAAGAAATGTTTATTTACTGCTTTTAGATTTTCAATAGTTGACTAAATTAAATCGGTTTATAATCTCAATAAAGTTCGATATTTTCACAATCACCTACTGATATTCCAACAGAAACTAGGCGATAATCGTGCATCAAAAACAAATGTCGTCCGACTGTGCCTTGAGGAACATTGTGCAGCCACGTAGTGTAAAATTATATACCATATCAGTGAGGTGAGTATCAGTAGGAGCTTTAGGTTGTTTTCGTACCTCAATTTCAAAATATGGACCACTAGATTTCAATTAGGTAGTCTAGAAGCATCATATGAATGGCAAGCCCTGAAAGTGTTATGTTTGGATTACGTTTCTAGTCGTAGGTACTGAATAATGAAGAGTCACAAACTAAAATAAAACTTTTCATCACTCCTTGATTCCAATTTTTATTCTATTGATGACTGCCCATGATGATAAACGTTGACCTCAAGTTGAACAATCTCTAAGAATAGTAAATGACTGCATTTATAATATTTTAGCATTAAAATCGGTCTATTGGTAACGCGATTCCCTTAGATTCTAATGAGTCGTAGGTTCTCAATTAAGCAATGTTTGATCTGGGTAAATATGGAATTAATTCTTACTAATAAATTATCATATGAAAACTGATTTCAGAATTTATATTAAGATTGTACGAAGTATGATGGTATCATATTGAAACATTTCAGCATTTCTTAACAGTTAAAATACAAATTGAATAAACATATCCAGTTTATAAATAACAAGATAATGAACATTCAAAGTGTTTTAAGTATTCATCGTAATTGATTATAGTTTCTACTTCAAACTACTTCATACGTCTCACTTAGATTAAAATGATGAAACTGAATATTGCTTGTTCAACCGTTAAGGTATTGAAATAATTCAAACGATATAGCTATATATATATATATACCCAAGGGACTCCTCATTTAAGGTAGTCTACAGTGTCAAAGAAACTGGATTGAAGGGGGTTCAAATCAATATTTTATGCACTGAAGAGGCATTGGCAATCCACAAACTCAAGTCTGAACTTTGCGTGCAGAAACGTTTTTTTTTTCAACTTTTCATCCTTCCTTGGCCATATCTCCTAATTATCAACTTTGTTAAAACATTATGGTTTAAAAACAAGTTTATTTATTTATAAAATAATCATTATGATTTAAAAACGATAAATCAGTACAAAACCATTACAAATGATAAAACAAGGGGAATTGGGAAACACTTTTAAAATTACAAAATATTGATTGTTAAGACTTAATTGTTCTGGTTTTGAAGAATAAAAGAGAGACGAATCATTTTGTCAAGTTCAGCTGTTAGTCAGTCATATTAAATATCCATCCATATGAGTAGATTTTAAAAGCTGAAAATAAATTATTTATGCGTCACAAACACTTGAGGTTCGTCTATAAATCTTTGGTCGATTTTCAAAAACAGGTGAATGAATTGCTGAAACATTTGTTATGTGGTCATGTTTCATAATAGATCGATATGTAGTTGAGTCATTAAAATTATTTGTAAATGTACTTAAGTTTGACGGTGATTGTGGTCTTTTCTTATCCATTGATTGATTGAAGTCATAAACCATTTGAATTGATGGAGAACCATATGTTTCCGATCGATCAGGTAAAGGAGGAGCATTTTCATCAAAAGGATCTGATATTCTTCCTGTTGTTGTTAATGGATTATTTTTATTATCAATACCTTCTGTATTCTCATCTGGTGGAAATCCAGTTTCATATATTCCTGTACCAGAATATATGCCTAGTGGATCACATTCATCATATTCGTCAGGTATTGTACTTGGTTCTAATTGTTTACTGTAAGCAGCATTTGATGATTTTTTAATTAATGGAGGAATATTAGATGTATCTTCGTATGTAATATTCATGAAATGTTGATTGAGTGGACATGAACTACCATAATTGGACTGTGCTGAACTTCGAGGATTGTGATATAATACAATAGGTCCATGTTTATTTAAATATTGTACCTTACGTCTATAGTATAATAATCGTTGCAAAATTGATAGTTTGAAGCATAGGTAAAAGTAAAAGAAAATAAATATTTCAGTGAATTATGGCATCTCTATATTCAGACAACAATCGAAATTGATAGAAAGCAAGAAACGTACTAGTTCATACGATCGTAGAGTCTTGCAAATGTTATTTCATAATCAAAAATGAATATAGAATAGAAAAGACTGATGTAAATCTAATAAACAACTAACCTCCTTTAATTCAATTTTTAAATCAATTACTTTTGACAGCAGATCAATTCAGATAGTTGAAACGCAAACAAAATAGTTAATGTACTAGTGATCAATGCAAGTAATTCAATATTATGCCTCTAAGTGAGAAGTTTTCAGTGGCTTATTATATTTTAAAAAAAGATACATAAACCAAAATGTTGTCATATGAAACAGTTTATTCATGTAAATGTAAGTAATTTCTACTGTTTAACTTACTTACTTACTTACAACCGTTTCTCTTAATAGAGCATAGGCGGCCGACCAGCATTCTACAACCCACTCTATCCTGGGCCTTCTTTTCTAGTTCCATCCAATTCTTGTTCATTTTTCTCATGTCTATCTCCATTTTTCGGCTTAATGTGTTCTTTGGTCTTCCACTCCTCCTTTGGCCTTGGAGATTCTATGTGAGGGCTTGTCTTGTGACGCAGTTTAGTGCTTTCCTCAATGTGTGTCCTGTCCACTTCCAGCGCTTCTTCCTGATTTCTTTCTCCGCTGGAATCTGGTTTGTTCTCCCCCACAGTAGGTTGTTGCTGATAGTGTACGGCCAACGGATCCGAAGTATTCTGCGTAGACAACTGTTAATAAACACTTGTATCTTTTGGATGATGGCTTTTGTAGTTCTCCAGGTTTCCTCCCCATACAATAGAACTGTCTCGACATTTGTATTGAAAATCCTGACCTTGGTGTTTGTTGACAATGGTTTTGATTTCCAGATGTTCTTCAGTTGTAGATGTACTGGTCTTGCTTTAACTATCCGCGCCTTCTCATCTGCATCAGATCCAACATGTTCATCAATGATGCTGCCCAAATATGTAAAGATTCTTACATCTTCCAAATCTTCCCCGTCAATTGTGATTGGATTGGTGCATGCTGTGTTGTATCGGAGAATCCTGCTTTTCCCTTTGTGTATATTGACACCTATTGCTGCTGAGGCAGCTGCCACACTGTTTGTCTTCTCCTGCATCTGTTGTTGCGTTTGGGATAGAAGGGCCAGGTCGTCTGCGAAGTCTAGATCATCCAACTGCATCTTAGATGTCCATTGTATCCCGCGCTTCCCTTCAGACGTTGACGTCTTCATGATCCAGTCGATCGCCAGGAGAAAGAGAGAGGGTGAGAGTAAGCAACCATGCCTGGCACCGGTCTTCACTTCGAACGACTTTGTCAACTGTCCTCCTTGCACGATTTTGCAGTTTAATCCATCATATGAATTCTGTATGATATTGACTATCTTCTGAGGCACGCCGTAGTATCGAAGAAGTTTCCATAGTGTTGTTTTGTTCACGCTATCAAATGCTTTTTCGTAGTTCTACTGTTTAGTTTTAGACATTCCGGCTACTTCAATTTAATAAAAAATGTAGGTTAATTTGTGTACTAATATCAGTTTGTTAAGCATCTATTTGCTTTGTTCAACAATATATATTCTATGAATATACTGACTACCAATTTATAGTGCAACTTCACAGCTTATTAAATTTTGATTTTCCAGCCAAAATGAGTGTCATAGAGACTATCCTTTAGAACCAGTAATATTTTATGACTAAATCGATTAATTATGAGGAATTATAATGTTGATGGGCGGCCTATGCTCCTCCACGAAGACTAACAGGCGTTAGTAAGTAAATTCAATGGTTAAGATCATGAGTCAGTTGAAGCTAGACCATCACGGAAAACCTGGAAGCACTGGACGGCCGTTCCGTCCTATTGTGGGACTCCTCAGCGATGCGCATCCACGACCTCGCCCCCTTCGCGCGAGCGCCTAACCACTAGACCACTGAGACAGCATCCATCGTCCAGTGATTCCAGGTTTTCAATGATGGTCTAGCTTCAACTGACTCATGATCTTAACCACTGAAATTACTACAGTCTCCACGAAACCCATCTGATGTTAGTAAATAAGTAAGTAACTGAATGGAGTAGTCACAATATGTAGTTGTAGTATACAAATACACGATAATGAAATATTCTTTCAACTTACGTTTTAGAAACTATAAGATATTTTGAAGATTAGATAAAACCTAAGTAAATTCAAGAATGAAATGTCTTTTTATTTCTTGAATGTTTGACTATTTCATAGAAATAATGTTGATATTAGGAATGTAAATTATGCGCATTTTTTTAAATTCATCAGTGAAGTAGAGATTTATTCAAACATTATTTTTCAGAATAGACAGATTTTTTCTAGAATCATTTTAATGTGACTACTTATATAAAGGACTAAATTATTATTATTGGTGCCTTTATCAATATTATATTTTTTTGGTACAATATAGAATTCGCAGCACAAAGTATGTCAACAAGTCTCTTTTTCCTATTTCTCGTTGGATCATTGCGACAAATATTGGGCAGTCTCCAGTTAGTTGTTAGCAGTTCAGGAATCGATATCTGATAAATGTATATTTATTTCGATGCATATTGACAATAACCACGATGTCTCTGATTAGTCTCTTTTGTAACTTGTACAGCGAAATGTAGTAAACACTTCATAAACGCACCTGAATTAGTTATGTGACTAATAGACATAATGATGTGTTAAAATAAACAAGAAAACAGATATCTTGTTGGAATATCCAGATGTCAGGAATAGGTAGTCCAGATATTCATATAGGCCGCCTGTTCTCTATATATTTCTTTCAAAACTGTATAATATATCAGAGGTTAATACTACTTTTCCGAATTATAAAACATCCTCAATTTCTAACAGTCTATTTCTAACCTAGTCTAATCATTTATAGTAATTGTCTGTTATAGATAAATAACAAAAATCTATGATGGGAAATATTTGACAGTTTGATTATACAAGATCAATATCACCTTCCCAACTTATTAATTTACAGTTTGGCAATGTATGTGATGAATTTATGACTAAAATAAGAGAAATATTTAAATTGTCCATATAAAATGTATAAAAAGAAAACTTCTCACATCAGTTGAATAAATATCATTTAATGATAATAGAGTTTACATGTCATAATGTTATCCGCTCTTATACAATATTTTCCACTACTAACAAGCAACGTGGATCTTCTCTGAATATTATCTTCTTATAGCAACATCCAGTTAAAGTTTTGTTTCTTGAGTATTATCATGAAATTAAATAGTTGATTGTGATGAACATTATACAATTGCTCTTATAGTTAATTAGCTATGCATTTCATAGATCTCATAACAATTCTAGGGTTACTTACTTACTTACTTACGCCTGTGCCACCCAGTAGAACAAAGGCCGATGACCAGCACTCTTCAACCCAGTCTGTCCTGGGCGTTCCTTTCTAGTTCTATGTAATAGTTGTTTATTCTACTCATATCTGTCTTCATTCCTCCTCATAAGGTGTTCTATGATCTTCCTCTTCTCCCTTGGCCTTAAGAATTCCATGTAAAAGCTTGCCTTGTGAAGCAGTGGGTGCTTTCTTCAATGCGTGACTTATTAGTTTCCACAGCCGTTTCCTGATTTCTTCATCCGCTGGAAACTTTTTTTCTCTCCGACAGTAGATTGTTGCTAATAGTGTCTGGCCAACACATCCGAAGTATTTTGCGTAGACAACTGTTAATAAACACTTGTATCTGCTAGATGATGGCTTTCGTAATTATCCGAGTTTCCACCCCATACAGTAGAACTGTCTTGACATTTGTATTGAAAATTCTGACTTAGATGTTAGTTGACCGTTGTTTTTATTTCCAAATGTTCTTCAATCGTAGATATGCTGCTCTGCATCAGATCCACCGTGTTCATCAATGATGCTGCCCAAATATATAAAGGTTTTTACATCCTACAAAGCTTCTACGTCGAGTGTGATTTAATTGGTGCATGCTGTGTTGTATCAGAAATCGTGCTTTCCTTTTGTGTATATTGAGAACTACTTCTGCTGAGACTGCTGCTACACTGGTCGACTTCTCCTATAGTTGTTGCTGCGTGCGCGATAAAAGAGACAGATCATCTATAAAGTCTACATCGTTCAGCTTCATCCTAGCTGTCCACTGTATCCTGTGTTTCCCTCAAGATTTTGACGTCTTCATGATCCAGTCGATCACCACGAGAAAAGGAGAGAGTAGGCAATCTTTCCTGATACCGGTTTATACGTCGAACGAGTCTGTTAGCTGTCCTCCATGCACAATTTTGTGTTTAATCCATTATAAGAATTCCGTATTGTGCTGACTATCTTCCCAAACACGCCGTAGAGTCGAAGAAGCCTTCATGGTGTTGTCCAGTCCACACTATCAAATGCTTTCTCGTATTCAATGAAGGTGATGTAGAGTGGTGAATTCCATTCAACTGATTGTTCCACAATGATTTGTAATGTTGGGATTTGGTCGATACGCGATCGATCCTTACGCAATAATTCTAGGGTTACATATGTCATCAGTATAACATTCTTTTTAAATAATTCAAACACTTTAATCACAACCTACTTACTTCCTGATGAAACATTTCCAGATAACTCCACTTGTAAGAAGAACAACCGTGATAAATAAAACAATTCCAACACTAATGAGTGTTATTAATATCCAATTTGATTTCTGAAAAACAGAAGGATATATATACTGATTTTCTACGCTCAAAACTTAGAAAACTTAATCTCACTGCACTGAGCGACATAGATTGATGATGAATTTCTCAGTTATCATGATAAGTAAAGCTTTGAACAACGTATTAATTATTTCGCTTTTTACATCTGGATACTGATACTGAATTTAGACTCCTGTTATTAACTGTAAGAACAAATCGTCATTATGTAAATGAAACCATTAAGGTAGGTATTTTTAATCCAAATATATTATGCATAAATTAGTTCAGAGGACAAAATGAAATTCCACTCTACCCTGAAAGTTATGAACTCATATCCATTGTCTCATTTTTCCAAAATCTTCCCGGAAAATGTAAATCATTTCTGCACATTTGTGTAATATTTTTTCGATGTTATCCAGTTTTGGTAAGTTGTCCCAATGTGCCACCATACCTGTAATTGGATATATATATATTGTGCTTTAACATCGTACCTGCTTGATAAACGGTCTATGTCATCAAAGCACAGTAAAATTCTATCTACTTCTTCATGGTCAATGAACAACTGTCTGAGTGGAATGATACATAATAGACTTATTAAGATAATAGATTTATCGATAATAAAAAAAACTTCAAAACGTTTCTTACTGCTGTTTCTATTTCAACAGGTATTTCACATCTTAATCCTATCCAACCAGGTAAACACACACAACGAACTTCAAATCTGATTGGATGATCAAAACACGTACCGCCGTTTAAACAAACGGACGTTACTTCAGTTGAATTGTTGTAATGGTCAGTGGACAAATTATTATTACGCTGAACTTTTGCTGCCTCCTTTAAGCATGCCGAACGTCTTTCATTGCATTTATGACCTGTCCATTGTTCAGGACAATGACATATGTAACTCTCATTATAATGTCCAGCTAATTGACATTCACCACCATTTTGACAAGGTTTTGAATCACATGGATTATAATTTGGATAGCATTCCGGTTCTGGTAAAGTAAAGTAAAAACAAAGTAATGATCATCATCCCTATAGGTTTATGGAGATAGCTAAATTTAATCGAAGTCATGAACCATTGTAAGTCGGATAACCCTTATAAACCTGGAAACACTGGATGGCTGTTTCCCCCTGGCATGAGATTACATGTAAGCATCTAAGGATATGTAAGCAGGAATCTAACCCAATACCACTGAGGCCAGATCCAGTGGTATACAAGTCTAACTTCAGTCAATCTATGATACTGAGCGACCATCATTTTACTTTCTTCGGAGAGTTCCTCTACGTCACACGTCATAGTTTAGCCTCACTGGTCGCTCATGAAGCTGGTGGTTCAATTTCCGCTCACGATGTGAAAGGTGCGCACTTCTGATGAGTTCGATACTAGAACGAAATGGTTATCTAGTGCTTTCAGGTTTTAAATAGTTTTCTAAATTTGATTAGTTTTTAAATTAAATGGAAAACAAAGTACAGAGTTGAAACCATTCAGTATGACAACACTGAAAGATTGGTCACTTAGAAAAAAAAAAGACATTCAAAACTTATGTAAGTGGAATGAGTACTGAAAGAATGCACAAACATTTATCAAATTCAAATGAAGAATATGTGACCTGCGTAAAGTAGATATATCGTTTAAATAAATTGGCGAAATTCAGAATGAATAGCTAAATTTAGAAACAGGTTAAATTAAATTAACTTAGTTGATAATTGACTACATGTTCACTACGAATAGTGAACACCTTACATGAAATTTTGAATAAAAGATTTCGAAATAAAAATAAACAACTGACTTTCTTGTCCATTGCATAAACAGATACGTCCACTTTCATCATCTTTATTTACACATGTTGCATGATCAGCACATGGTTCATAGAAACATGAATCCTCTTTATCACATTTTGGTCCTCGAAGTCCTAAAATAGGAAAACATACTTGTTGTAAATTAACTGTAACAAACAAGGTAAATGGTAAATACATGAATAGTTTAATCAGTATTTCATAAATACATGATACACTACTGGCATATGACGAACAGGATCCGATTAATATTAAATTAGTCAACATACATGAAGTGATTATTGCCACCATCTTAGTCCTGGAATAGCTTAGACACTATCTGAGTAGTTTTACATTATGACACAGCTTTAACTCTTACTCCTCATACTTCAGTGAAATGTGAAGAATAAACTGTGAAATTTTAATTCAAAAACGTGTTACAAAACATGGTTAAATATAGTTGTTAAAAATAAAATATCTCATTATAACAGAGTGGTCTTATAGTAATAACTGATGACACAACTAAAATCATACTTTATTTTTAATGAAAATAAACCAAAATCAGAAATTTAATTCTAACTGTTGGCAATCAATTCCATCTCCGGATTAGTATTGGGTTCACTTAAAGTTTTATTATTGGCTTTATTCAGTACTATATTTTCGATACAATACAGAATTTTAACAAGTTTCCTTTCCTTATTTCTTCATCGATCCTTGCAATACATATCGGGCGGTCGCCAGTTAGATGTTAACAGTTCAGGAATTGACATCTGAATAATGTTTATTTACTTCGAAGCATATTGACAACAACCACGATGTCTCGGATTGGTCTCTTTTGTAACTTGTACAGCGAAATGTAGTAAACTTTTCACATACGCACCTGAATAAGTTATGCGACTAATGGGCATAATTCGGAAAATAAAAGCAGATATGGAAAGGATGAATAAAAACTGGAAGGAGCTGGAAGGGATTGCCCAGGACAGGGTTGGATGGCAAATGCTGGTGAGCGTCTTAAGCTCTTTCACGAGGAGTAACAGGCGTAAGTAAGTAAGTAATTGGCATAATAGTGTGTAAAACAAACAAGAAAACAGATAACTGATTGAAATATCCAGAAAACAGGAACAAATAGCCCAGATATTCAAGCAGGCCGCTAGTCACTTATAGTGTAATCGAAGTACACTCATTTTACGGTCAGTAGATTTAATTGGCATAAACTTCAAAGATGGCTGTTTCTAATAAACACTACATTAAATTATTCATTTAGAAAATTTACGAACCCTTTAGATTTATTCAGTACGTTTACATATCGAAAGATAAGTTACGTTATTCCTTTCACTAAAGTTTGAAACAATTAAAAAACCCGAACTGTCCACGATATAATTCTGATCTGACTATAACTGAACTTTGAAGCAACCATATTTAGTTGTAATTTGAAGCTCTTATTGAGATTTCTTTGAGTTAATTTTCTATCACACTAAAAATATTGTCATTAAGGACAACCATTACCCATGAATCATCACTTTCTGACGATAAAATAAACATACCTGGGAGACAAATATAAGAACCATCTGAACTGCAAGTATATCGAGATGGTTCTGGTTTACAGAAAATGTGACAATGATTGCCATAATAGTCTTTTACGCAACTAAGACGCATTCTTACATTAACGCTAAATTTTAAAAAGGAGTAAGAAAAAAAAATAAATGAACGAAGGTATAAACAACAATCACTTATGTTAAAGCATATAAATCTTGATTAGATTATACTTTTTCATTCCTTTTAAATATAAATTCATTGTTTTTCTAATTCAAACAACGGCATTATTCGACAAACAAATAAACTACGACACTAAACACATCAAAGACATTTGAGAAACTGTCTATGAAATAATTAAATTAACAATATACAATATTCTTATTGAGTCGAAATTGTTATGGTTTTATGTCCGGCTTTTTATCACGTGATTTATCCACCAATCAAAAACGAATTATACAGTCTTTGCACTATGACAAAATCAATGATGTTCAATCGGTATGAGCAGTCTAGCGTCCTTATTGGTCCTATGTTCGCCTAGCTCATCCCCTTGAGTCCAGAACACAAACACCAGCTTCTGCAATACGAATCATTTATTTCAAAGATACTCGGTTTATATATCAACCAGACAAACCACAACGTCCCATGAAATAGAATATAACATGTGTACACAATAAAGCCGAAAAGTGGCTTTGAATGAGGGAGATAGTAATTAATAGACAGGCCATAACTCAAGAATGATAAATCGTATAGTATTAGTCTATGGGTCAAATTAAAGCTTATAATAAGAAGAATATAAATATACGTAATCTAATTATTGAATAATGATACCATAAGAATATATATTAGTTAATTAATATGTCTCAGGAGTTACCCGTGATTTAATCTTCGCTCGGATATAACAGAAATGATGATACATTTCGCTTCAGGATCACTAAATAAACTAATTCTCTAGATTTCCCGTGTTTCATTACTTTTGAATAAAATCTATGTCATATACATAGATTCCAGTCAATTAACTAGGCAAAATAATGTGTACAAAAAAAATTCGATTATTTGTTGCCTAAGCTTGATACTTATCCATATATAACAAATTGGATCATTCACGTACATTCTTGGAATGTTAACCAAAATCAGAATCTATTGTGTTAAGTATTACGAAATAAAGTTTTATTCATGTACAATGCAATTCATTATCATGGTTTCCAATCAGGCTTATGGAACAAATATTCATAACTTTAAAGATCAATAGTGAACATAACTAATCGTTTATTTATGTATTAGTGGAAAATAGATTTAACATATAGGTTCTAGTAGATGAGCTTGTAATGAATCTATTAGTGGATTTTCGTTAATTTCAAGAAAACTTCTTTTTGATTAGGCACTTTATTAGTATAAATTCATATTTTCAGCCATCATCAAACTTATTATTAATCACCTGCTCACTAGTGACTGACTTCAGGAAACACTCCTGGAGTTCTAGTGAGAAGTCGTTACCAGTGGAGTACAACCAGGTCTGTTGTAAGATATCAGCTCACTGGAGACAATGGTGTATGGTGGCACAACTTCGTGGATTTGTTGAAGTTAGACATTAACAACATTGGATGCCGGCTCATTGGTCTAGTTGCTTAAGCACCTGGCGCGAGACCGATAGGTGCTGGGTTCAAATCCCGCGGGATGCAGGATCGTGGATGAGCACGGCTGGGGAGTCCATACTAGAAAGAAACGGCCGTCCAGTGTTTGCAGGATTTCCGTGGTGGTCTAGCTTCAGTTGACTCATGATTTCAACCAGTGAAATTCCTAAAAATCTCCACAAAACCCATTCTGATAAACTTATAACGTTTAGATCATCGAGAACAATCAATTCAATGAACAACACGAAATAATATATTTACATTCTATTGGTATATCAGATACCCAACTAAGTAGGCTGCGGATGAAATAAAAACCAACATGGTTTTGAAAGTTTTCAGAATTTAGTTCAGTCAATCGTTTGTATGATTTAATGCATACGTTGACTGAATGCTCAACCTATTTTGTAAACATTATTCCATAAAAAATTGTAGAATTCGCCTTGCTGACCCATAAGTTATAACACTTTTGTTCATGAATGTCTCTATTAGTCTGTGAATAGATGTACGTTGTTAAAGTGTTGGATTAGTCATGGTTACAAAATTCCTTTGTCATGTGTTTTTGTTTAATTAACGCTAATTTATTTCAATTAATATTGACCCTTTTATAATGACTAAGATCGACAAACATATTATTGACTTAGATATTTTACGTTATTCCAGAAGGTATCTGAAAAATCAAACAAAAAATATCTAGTTTATCAAATGTTCTATGTTTTCAGACTAAACAGTTACAGATTATTTATGGCTTCACTTTGATACATTACAGAATGATTCATTACTCAAACCCAATCCCATCATAGAAACAAACTAATCCGTAATGTTTACCGATCCATTGTTGTTAATTTAAATTTACTTGAATCATTCGATAGCATTTGAATCTTATTGTTGCTTTGCTACATGCGTTAATCAATCCAGACATATTTGAAAACATCATAATGTATTCAACGTACACATTCAACATCAGTAATCACTTTTGAAACATTTCTCTCATTTGGAGTTGAATAAGTGAAATACAGACTGATTATCATGTTTTAAAATGTTGGAAAGCATATTCCATTTATTTTTTTTCCATCTAGGATGACTTACTAAATGGTATTTTTATATTGATCATTTTCTCTGGACATTCTTATGTTTGTCCAATTGTTTGTTGGTAATAATGAAAAATGATTAGCAACCAATGTACCAATCACTTCAACGGATCCAAAAATATCTTGCTCAAATATACCTAACGTAAATGTATATTCGTTCTAGATAAATAAAGAGAAAGAAATATGAAATTTAAATTATTCGTTATGAGGTACTGAAATTCAACCGAATGTTCAGATGGTTATATCAGTGAAAATCTAGTTTGTATTTTGAGAATAAAATAAACCGAACATTTCCAACTAAGCAAAAATATATGTATTATGACCATACTTGCAAGTGGCATTCTGGACTCATTAGTATTCAGTTACTTTTTTTATGTAAAATGGATTTATTCCAGTTATGAGGACTGATTCGATCACTAACTACCTAAGCAAATTTTTTATTTAAAATATATCTCTACTGATTTGTAATAAGTAGTTCTATTCTTTTAAAATGCGTAATACCAAAATTTCAATAAATGGAAATTTTAGACTGATGGTTTATCACGAATAATGTGTATATAAGCTGCATTTTTAACATATATCCGAGATTATTATCTGAGTTTCTTGATCATACCTTACGGTTGCCATGGTGGCTATGATGAAGAAACTGGTGAATTCTTTACATAGTTAAGCCTAGTAGTCAATGTTTTCATGGATAGATCTATACTGTTAGACATATATGAACTCTTATTTGATATTCCATACTACACAAATGTAGGTAATATCTGGGTTGTTCCACCATGCCCAAGACATCCTTCAAAGACACCTGTTATCTTCAACTTTCAAAGGCCATATTATGACGTAGAAGTAAACGTGATCAAACCAAATATAAGCCAATCCTAAAGAATTATTTCACATTTTAAAATTTCGAAATTCATTTTAAGCGTTCACATCTTCTACTTTAAATTGTGATGAGTTATCGTTGATCTGAAATTTTTACAAACGTATATCATGTTAGTAAAATGTATCGCGTGGAATTAAAGGTTTTCCGATAAGGTGATTTCACTAAGTGATGAACAATTCCAAAACATGAAATTATGCTTGGCGGTTCTTAAGACCTACTCTGAGAAAAAATTCAACTATTGTTTACCTTCTTTGCAAAATGTGTCGTATTTGATTACAATATTTTCGATTTCAGCTGTTAAGATCAATATAAAATACTATTTAGTATCATTGATTTTAAACGTTAGAAGTTTCTAAGCTTTAAACTTGTCCTGTCGAAATTTGCTTTATCTATCATTGATTTACATAATCAATACAAAAGAACAGTTTATACCACTATAAAGTTTGTACTTGGTATACTAAATCTTAAATGATCGTTAGTAAATGTCAAAAAGGTATATGCATTACATCTTATTTGTATTTTGAAGGTGTTTTTTAAAAATTTTAACTCTCAAGTTCAAAAATCAGCTTGTTTGACCACGTTTACTAAGTCTACATAACTTGTATACTCATCTAAGCATAAAATGAATAGTTCTATGTTTTCATAATCAGATTTATTATTATATATAATAGTGCCTTTATTCAATATTATTATATTTTGGTACAATTTAGAACTTCTCAGTACAGGGTATTTCAACAAGTTTCTTACACAAAAAAGGACAGAAACAAAGACAAAAAAAGGGAAAAAAGGTTTAAAAAAATCTGAAAAATTGTACAACTTTTCAAATTAGAGACATGTCAAGAATGCAGGTTATTGACTAGATTAACTCTACCAACCTGTTCGTCACAGAGTATATTTGCTAGGTAAGGTACTATAGAACTTTTATACTTTTGCTTGTGTACATGGATTTCAATGTAATTACGTCTCGTTCTACTAGAAAATGTACAAGGAGAAAGATATGAGTGAAGGAGATGGCTAGTATCTGATAAAATAAAACCTGCCAGGAGTTTGCATGACTTAAGATGTCTATCCACAACCATATTAATTATTACCTCGAAAGATTCACCACACACCTTGCTAACTGCCTTCAGCACTCTCCGCAATACAGCAAAGTTTTTCCTCAAAAGCCCGGGAAAGAATAATGGAGAACAGTGAAGAATAATAGGTAATATGCGAAAATTGACAAATTGTAAGAGTAAATGACAATAAAGAAATAGCTATTTTACGGAATGATATTAAAGAGACACTTAGTTTTGTTCTAGAAAAGAGAATTCGATAAAGCATTATAAGATTTAAGATAAAATCTAGAAAGAAATTACTTGACATTCAATAATAAAATAAATGGTAAATAACTTACAGGAACAGGTTGTGGTACAAATATTTCAATACCATCACTTTCACGAAACTCTAAGTAACCAGCATTATCAAATATACGTGTGGTATGCTGTAGTAGATGACATTTATCTATGCTTTAATTGAAAATCAAAGAAAAAAAAACAAACAAATGGGAAAAAAATGGAAAGGATCTGCTTAAATTATTTAAGTACTTGAATAATAATGAAAAACAGATTGATCAATTGCAGTCTTAAAAAACTCAATGGGATGATACAAACCAAACAATACCAAGTGAATTGCACAAACAAGTGGCTATCAGGACTCAGTAGCTGAGTGGATAACGCAATGGAGTTTGATGCGGACGGCGGTGGATTCGAGTCCTAGAGTGAACATCAACGTCCAGCCGACGAGTCCCAAATAGGCCCACTGCTAGCCACTATTCATCATTGCTTAGAATAAAAATTTATGTTTATACAAGTGAGATCTAACAATAATCAATAATGCTTTGAGATATCAATTAGAAATTTATTTGATTATTTACATCCATTGGATTTAAACAAAATTTTTTTTAGATTTTTTTTTAAATAGACAGTATGTGTTAGGAGATATATGATGGATATGAGTAAAGTTTCCATCCAAATGAACTTCTGTCTCATAATTAGATCAAATACTATTTCACCTTTCGAAAAGTATTCTATATATAATTTGTAATTTAGGTGGAAAGATTCTGGATTCCACTGCTAACGATTATCCATCTTTGCTTAGAATTCTTGTGAATTAAGGCAATGTCAAGGTAATACGCACAGTATACACATATATCAATAAGATATTGATCAATTGCAGTCCTAAACATCAATGAGAAGATTCAAGTAAACAATATCAAGTGAATTTAAACTTCACTGAATCGTACAAGCAAATGTTTATCAGGATTCAGTAGTTAAGTAGATAACGCAATGGAATTTGATGCGAACGGTAGTGGGTTCGACTCCCAGAGTGAACGTCAACTCTGAGACGCAAGTATATCCAACTGATGAGTCCAAAATAGGCTGAAATATGCGTCCAAACTGGATTCCACTGCTAGCCACTATCCATCTTTGCTTATAATGTTTCAATTCATCAGTTCATCGGTTAAATAATAATGTAAACAATGAAAACGGGAAGTCATAGTTATTGTTTCTAGATAATTATAATACAGCTCAAGATTTATCTCATGGTTTGATCACTTTTAAGAAAATACCCTGTTCATTAAACATTTAAGGATTGTTTGCAGATCATTTGCGATGTGTTTTCTTTTTCCGCAATATAAATAATCTGTTCTAATATTACATTCAGTTTAAAACTAAATATAAACAGATATTTTTATTTGAGATCATGAACCGATCGATGTTAAACCACTATTGAAAACCTGGAAGCCGTTTCGTCTTATTGTGGGACTCCTCAGCAGTGCGCGTCCACGATTCCACTCGCGAAATTCGAACCCAGGGTCTTCAGTCTCTAGCGCGAACGCCTAAACTACTGGACCACTGAAACTTCCAAGTTTTCAATGGTGGTCTAACATCAATAGATTTATGATCTCAATTACAAACTTAGCAATCTTCACAACCCCTTTACCAATAAACAGATATTTTGGATAGGTAGTAAAATATGTCGAAAAATACATTATAATTTAAATCTATGACCACACGAAAGTGACCAGATTTTAGGTGATAACATTTATAAAGTTTACGCAACTAGTATATGCTACTGTATTTCAATTGCATATATTCATTAAATCAGATTATCAGCTACTTATAAACATTAAACATGAAATATTTCAGAGGTGAACCTTACTAATAGACAAATGAACAATGTTTTTAATTATTATAAATATATATCTTAATGTTTTATCTAAACATATATATGATAAGTAAACATTAACATGTTATAGTTATAATAATAAACATTACGTTTATGTATAGTAATAACATGTTATAAAATCAATCAATTAAAGGTTACCAAGGGTTATTATTAGCACAGGAACATAATTGACATTGTGTAAACTGCAATCGATCGCTTAAATCGATGTGATTGGTATATTTAAGCAAAATATTTTTATAAACATAAAGCCCTTAATATGTAAACATTAAAATCCAGAATAAATGGTCAGTATAAATGGAATGCTTTATACGGTGAAATTGTTTTAGCACTACACATAATATCTACAGTGTTTAAAGTATCTTACTGTTATTGTAGTATTTCTATCATTCTTAACGTTTGAATGGGAATATTTCAGTTACGAAATATTCTTTTTTAAATGAACACCGTTAAATTTGATTCGAATGTAAATAATAGCTCGATGTAGATTGTCTTGGTCATTCACTATCATACGTAGCTGACTCACTTATTAATAGGACTATTTATTGGTCACTTTATCAACGATGGGGTTTCAAATTATAGTGGAATTTATATGTTCATCATTATGAGACAATTTATTGTGATATACTAAAATTGCCGTTATTCATTACGACAAGCCAAATTCTTTTCACGCTGAACGGCGTAAATAAATCATTTTATAGTAAACCTAAACGTGCGACTATAATTTATGGACGAAGCGATCAGGTATAAAATAACAAGTCTCGGATTTCGGCGTGAAATTCACTCATCCATTTAGCCAAATAGTCCCCTGGCATTTTAGCTGATTCCAATTCGTGATGAAAAGTCGTAAATCTGATTCCTAACCCCAATCATCAACTGCGAATCATGATTCTTATTCTTCAAACTGCTTTATAACACTCATTTAGCTTTTATAAGTAGGTTGACACTCACAAGGTCACTTTAGTGTCGTTCAAAGGTCGTCAATAAATTGTAGTCTCACCAACCTAACTCCATAGCTTTTTGTCTCTTCTAAGTGATGAGTATCTTTCTTGAATTATAAATATAGCATTTCCAATGAACCAGTTAACCATTTTGACAATATATTGAAGTTATTGTTGAAAACATAGAAAATTTTATATAATAAGGTAAGATGGATTTATTGATAGCTAATAATAAATCCAGATGACATGTCTAAATAGAACAAAACGAGAGTTCTGGATTCTGATGCTAGCCACCAGCTATCTCTGTTTATAATCCTTGTGACTTGATGGTAGTATCGAGACCATCCACAAAGGATGCAAATCGGCAAAAAATTCTGATCGCTTGCAGTCCTAAATATCAATGGAAAGATCTAAATAACCAATACAAATGAAGGTAACATAAAATATTAGTAGGATTTCCGACACTTTGTTTTTATGTTTGACAAGTTTCAACCGATTTACAAAATGATTGACTGATATAAATGACGCAGTAAATAATAATAATAATAACAACAACAGTAATAATAATAATAATGTGAATCGTTTGATTATTAATCGAAGCAAGAAAACTATTTTCCATAATTATCGACAGTTCATCATATTTGTGCGAGGGCTGTGATACTGTCCGGGTGCCCAGACCGAAGCAGGTAGTTTTCTTAGGGGGCCACACCCTGAGACTTTGACCTAAAGGTCTAACCGACAAGGCAGTGGAGCATCGTGAGGAGATGCAATATTTTTCACAACAGTCTCGAATATGTGGATCCTTTGCATTTGCTAGCCAAAATTCACAAAATTTAGTTTAAAAAAAATCCTAAATTTATTGATAAAATGAGACCACTATTGAACAATCTATAAATTTGGAACATAGTTTAAGTGTTACTATGGTAAAATACCCCATAATAATTTATATATATGATATGTAATAAATACAACTGTAAAAAGAATATACCATGTATACCATATAAATCACCATAAAAAGATGGTTTTCTTAAAATGACATAATCTATTTTTAATGAAATATTTCTCCACACATTAGAAATATTAACAGTAGGAGAGTTCAATATTTACAATAAAGAGTTTTATACTGTTATAATCTTATCTGTCATGTGTTATACTAATTTTAAGATCGGTAACCAATACATTGACAAAAAAATATGATACAATTTTCATTAATAGTTGCATTATTTAGTTGTAGTTCATGCTTAAATTCTTTGTTGTTGATCATCACATGATATGATGTATTATATATATCGATATGTTTTATGGTCAAAATGTATTATTGACCGATTATTAAGACATTGAATCGTATTTTCCGATCTTTATATACAGAACAAAACTACTATTGTATTAGTATTTAAAATTATCAACTTTCAATTGAGGAAATAATAACTGATTAATATGTGAGTACTTTGTATTCGATAAAACATGACGTCTGTTACTACAACTAGTCGATGTATAAAATAAGAAACTGAACATTTAATTGTTGGGTATTTTATGTAAATTAAACAGAAAGTCTTTCTAATAAGTACTAAGTAATAATGAATTATCGATAAATGAAATCATGTGTCAATTTAAGCTAGACCACCATGGAAAGTCTGGAAGCACTGGACGGCCGTTTCATCCTAGTATGCGACTCCTCAGCAGTGCGCATCCACGACTCCACCTCGCGAGATTCGAACCCAGGGGCTTCAGTCTCGCGCGCGAGCGCTTAACCACTAGACCACTGAGACGGCATCCAACGTCCAGTGATTCCATGCTTTCCATGGTGGTCTAGCTTCACTTGACTTATGATTTCAATCACTAAAATTACTCAAATCTTCACAAAACCCCTTCTGATAATTATCGATAAGTTTGCAATTTAGTTACATTATATCATAGTTTTATTGATTGTAACAAAATCAATTACTCAGTTCAACAATAAAAAATGTTCATAAACATGTACTACTCAAGCATCCCAAAGATACAAAAAAAATATTTATCGTTTTAATAAAATAAGTGGCTGAAATTTTCCAAATAAACACACATTATGAACAAATATATACAATCATTTACTGTGTGATCATAATTCTGCAATTAAAAGCGGTGGCCTTCATAAAACTCTGGGCTACCTGTTCCTGTCATCTGGATATTTCAATAAGTTATCCGTTTTCTTGTTTGCTTTTTTTAACACATCATTATACCTATTAGTCTCAAAACCTACTTAGGTGCATTTGTGAAACCTTTACAACCTTTCGCTGTACAAGTTACAAAAGAGACCAATCAAAGACATCGTTGTTGCTGGTAATGTACATTGAAAAGAA